GCATTTGTTGGATGATTCAGATTTGTTTTTGTGTAAAGCCAGGTTTATTTGAGTTTATTTTATTTGGTTTTACTTTAATATAAAATGTGAAGTTAAAAAAGAAATTAAAGAAATTGTTATTAGTCAGCAGTGTGTTTATATCTCAGCAGAAATGCGTGTGTTTGTGTGGCCACACGTTGTTAATGCAGATGAACTGTGTAGGCCTGCGTGGTCAGACGCACCTGCATCGTACATGTGTTTATATGAAGCCTTTTTTAAAGCAGAGGCTAAAGCCGAGGCAAGATCAGTTGGTATCATATCCATCATTACAGACTAATGTTCATGTTTCCAAACGGATCAGACTGATAACACGACATGTCTCTCACACAGGATCAGGGCTGAGCGTCACTCGGGATGTGCGCTATTAAAAACGTAACAAGTCCTTATTGTGGTTTTACATCACTGCTCATTTCTACCCTCATTGTTGTCATTACAGTTTTGGTCATATTTTCCGATCTCATGCGGTCAGGTTAATTCAGTTATTGATTATTCACACTGTGATCTGTGTAAAGCCAGGTCTCGTGGTAATAATTGATTCTATCGATTGGTTAGAGATTTGAGAGAAATAAACAGGAAGAGAGAAACAGGGCAGCTACAGTGACATTTTATGAAACTGGTAAATCTTTCATTTCAAATTATTCCACTATTTAAATATTAATAATAATTTATCGATTCATAATAAGAACATACATTCATTATTTTTGTATTATGTAAAAAAAAAATCAAAATATTTTTTTCCACTTTTTTCTTTTATATATTTTCTCTCCATCGCCACTGTAGCATTTACTGCAATAAAAACACACAAAATAGACTAAAGAAATAATATTTACAAGCACATTGTGCTAGAGAGACTACAACATTATTGACCAACAGTTTTCATATGTAAATAATAAATGTACCGTTGCATAGCGATGGACGATCGATTTCAATGCTGAGCCGATTTTAATACTGTTCTAAAGAAATAAATTCACGAAACAAGCAACTGTGACTGTAATGATGACCGTTGTATTGTTATTATTAAACAATATATGAGTTTAAATGCATTTAAGTTTACCTCACTGCTGCAGGTGCCCAGTTAGTTTTCTTTAAATGTTTAAGCTTCTTCTACTTTTAATTGTACTAATTTTATTCTAAAAACAAAATAAAACAACAGACAATGCTGGACAGTCAACTGAAATAAATACATAATCTCATTCTGACTTTTTGGTTAAAAAAAGTTGATTCTTTAAATAATAAAATAGTGGCAAGTGAAGGAAATTCTGCTTTTAGTGTTAACAAGAACAACTCAACTGTTTTTGAATCAGCACCTGAGAGAAAGGTGTGCGTGTGTTTTGCGCACTAATGGGTCGAGGAAGTGGAAAAGAAATGTCAACAGTCTGTGTTTGTTTGTTTGTTTGTTTCGCAGCTGCTCTTACTTTCCCTGCTTGTTTTGCGACACAGTATTTCGAAGATAATCGCGCAAATTGACCTAAACTTGATTAGTATGAGACGACGTTAAAGAAAGGCAGAAGATTTGTGGTGTTCGGTATGTAGACATATAGTCATAGACTTCTGGGAAACATATGGGGGCTATAAGCTACAACAGGTGGTGTCCAAGGCAGCATAGCGACGGCAGGAGCATTAGTAAGAACTTAAGTTACAGCACTAATTGAACATCGGTGAATATGAGGAAGAAGCATCAACAGTGATTTACACTGAGCCCTTTAACTTCTGTTTTGGAGCCATCATGGAGGATTCACACCTGAAGCATTTATTTCTACGTCTAAATTCTAATTAACATTTCCACTGAAGTTTTAAGTGTGTATATTTGTTTATTAAGTTGCACTGTGACACTTAAATTGCTGAATAAATGTTATGATCTTTGTGAACTTTTGCTTCCTTTTCAAAATAAGAGATGAACTGTCCAAAAAAAATATGTATATTATATTTATTATATGTGACAAATAACTTGTGAAATAAACTTGTGCTTTAGCCTGTGTCCGTTCGGTTTATATGTGCACAATATATTTAGTGTCAGGTGTCATGTTTAGCAGTGATTACTGTGTGCGATTAAACGATAGATGGCACATCCAGAAGCTAAACCCTGCAGCAGCGTCAAAAAAAAACAAAAAAAAAAACAGGACGATTATTATTACATTTTAGAAATTAAAAAAAAAGATGTCTGGGAAAGCTGGGTTTTCGTCTTCTCATATAATCAGTAATGGAAAGAAGATGCTCTAATTCTTCATCTTAGATTCTTCTTTCCTATCGGAAGCTGCATAAAAACCGTAGATTCTGTTTTTCGCTGCTGCAAAATGGGGGTCAATATCTCATTCAAAGCTGCACCCCGTGCAGCGTGCTCCATCCATTAGCATAATAGATGTGATAGAAGTGATCACATTTACTCTGTGATTAAACAGCAAGTTTTGGGGGCGAAGGTAAAATACCGGATAAGTAATGTTGTAGTGTATTTGTTTCCTCCACCCTGTTGCTGCAGCAGCGGGCATGTTTGCAGGCCTACAGTGCAGCGCACAGCACGTCACGTCCACGGCTGCAGAAAACACCATGCTTCTGCTTATTTTTTCTTCTGAAAGCCTAAAATATGAATCTATGAATCTTGACAAGCCCATTTCTCTGCCTCCTTCCATTGTCACCGCTGCTGCAGAAAAGAAAGCATTTTCTGGCCCTCTGGCTTATTCTGTGCATGTTCCAGCACATGCATGGTCATTTTAAGGTCACAGCAATGTCCCCTGACCCTTGACCTCGAGTTTTTGGCTTGATGTAATAGTGGTGATGCAGACATAAACGACCCTCTGGAGGAAAGCATGAGTTAAATAATTACGATCTAAACATGCTCGATATTGGCTCTAGATTAAAGGCGTATTCTACAACCACTGTATCTAAGGTTACATGGGACAGGATCTGCACCTAAATGGCCAACGTGAGTATTCCTCATTATATTTATTGCCTCTATTGGTAATGGAGGGTTTAAAGCTTCTACTGTTGCTCTCAAGACCCTCTGAGAGCATCAGCTAAATGGTTGAAATGTAAATGTTTTGGCTGTAATGTTGCTGATCCTGCTGCTCTCACTTTGAGGAAAGTGATTCTGGGTGAGAGCATCAGCTAAATGCTTACAATGGAAATTCCCTTAGTACTGGTGATCTAAGATTTGAAGCTTGAATTCACCAGTTAAAATGGAAAGTAATTGTATTTCTCACCATGTCCACAATATTGCTCCAATATCACATTATAAGTGACTGTGTTGACAAACCCTTAGCTTCCCTCCAGACTTTAAGTGTAAAAATTTGGAGGTGGGGTGCTTTCAGCTCGGATGTCAGCCTGCCTTCTTGGGTTTTCCAGCCACAGAAGGTGAACTTTCACCCCGACCTCCAAAAGGACCTTTTATTTTCGTTCTGTAGCCGTTGACCATTTTTACCTCCAGCTATTCGCCATCCATACACGCATCCATGCTGGCTGCGCGCAGGGTGGATCGATAGGGCAGCATCTGCTCCGGGAAGCCGGCGGTCCCACACCGCGCACCGCTCCGCAGTTTCCAAACGCCAGAGCTGCTCATCTCTGAAAATTAAACTGACAGACAGATATGATTAGTATGCGCTCTAGCTCGCTGCTTCTGTCTGCCCGTGTGTTTCTCTCTGAGGCCGCGCACAGACATGCACGGACACGCCTGGCCAATGCAGAGTAGATGCATATTTATGTTTTTTATATACACACATAAATGGCCAAGTCTCACGTAAACGCGCGCATAGGCTATACAATCACGCACGCACTCAAGCATAAGCGCACCCAGCATCACATGATTACAACACAATCTTTCCACACATTCAAGCAAGCACACTGCAGGCTAAGTTTACACAAAATTACATGCAGTGGACTCTTGTGCACGTGCACGTTCGCGCACACGCACGCGCTCTCAGCAGGCCTGGCCTGCAGTGTGTCTGCTTCATGCTGCAGCAGCAGGTCGAGGGTCTTGTGGAAAAGGGTCGCCAGGGACCTTAAAGACTGAAGTGTTGGCGGTCAGAGTGAATGGAGTCGCGCGCTGAGTGCTGATTAAGAGCTGAGCTGAACACGAGCGTCACTTGACAGCTTTTATCCCTGAAAGGTGGGATTTACATTTGTCTTAAACCAGCCAGAGGAGTGAAGAATATGTGGTACTAAAAAGAAAAATAAATACAAAATAAATAAATATGGAATGTGGCCTGGTGCGACGATGGCGCACAGCAGTGTACATGGAATTTAAATCATCTTACGGGCTTCTACACTAGTCCTGTACTGATATTTGCTATTACAAATCGCACAAATTACTGTAAAATCATAACAAAAATAAATGAAAACAGGAAAAAATGAAAATTGTGTATTATTTGGCTATAATCCATTCAATCTCCATGTTACTGATTTTTTCATAATGACAACTGCACCAAAGCCATCTGTTTTTACATAAAACCGGATCCAAACGACATTAGCTGCAGCCTCTGAAAATCCACTGATCACATACAATAAACAGCCGAGCGCAGCAGAATGACCAGAATGTGCGCACATACAGTGATTCACAAGTTGTGCAAGCAGAAGAAGACTTAACCTGTAAGGTTATGAGAAAGGGAGCATCTCCACCTCTACACCCCCTCCGCCCTGCCCCCTCCCCCTCCCCCTGGAGAGAAAGGGTTAATTGGAGTAGGAATTTCATCGCACATCTGTCAGATTTTTAAGGCCGTGACGCACTGAAAGCAGAGTCAATGTGAGCAAGGGGGAGGAGGAGAAGGAGAAAGAGTTGGTGGTGAGATCGATGAAGTGGCAGGCGGGGGGGAGGGGAGGAGGAGGGGGGAAAACTCACG